TACTTCCACATCAACACCCACCATCACTCCCGCACTACTTCCACATCCACACCCTTGTGTAACACACATATCATTCTGCTTGTTTATTTGTTCTCAAAAATAATTTTTTATCGCTAAAAAGATGATGTTGCAAACAAAAACTGCATGGAAAGAGTAAAAGGTACGTATGCAATAGAAGAATTTTGTCATATCTTTGCAACAATTGCATCGTTTGTGGAACAAATGTGGATGTGGTTGGGTGTGCGGATGACAGTGACTGTAAGTATGGGATATGGACGCTGTTCATTTTTCACATATACTCACATTCACACCTTACCCACACTCACACGCACACCAACATCCACATCCGCCCACATCCTCAACCGTGGATTACGTCTTGAACATTTTTATATATACATTGTCAGACTCCGTAAACGAGAAACTTAAACCAGGCCACGAATGATGGACTAGATATAGTAGTGACGCGAATAAAACTTATCCCACTCAACCATGGATTAAATGTAATGTTGAGCCATTGGGTGTTGTATGTGTAGCCGGTCAAATTACTGACTACTTGTAAAGAGCTTACAGTAGCACCAACAGAGATTTCGTGTTGTGTAACACCATCAGGATATTGGCCAACCCTCAAACACACATTGCAAATACTGTACACTCCCGGAAACTCGAGCTGTACATATTGAGGAGCATAGAGACCGGAGGTAAACGCTCCAGTTTGTGAACGGTCAACAAGAGCGTCACCTTGAGCAGTGACAGAATCGGTACCAGTATAAAAATTGGACGCAGTGACTGTGGCAAGCAGTGAGAGAGCTTGAACTATAGAAGAGAAAATTATAATAATATGCATTAAAAAACTAATCATCATTTCAACTCTAATTTATCCATTTAAGGTAGAAAAAAATTTGCTAATGAAGACGATCTTTATTCTATGTTAGAGTTGCTCGTTATTGACTTCCGTATTCATTCTCATTCTCAAGATCTCATCTAACTTCACACGTCCACTCTACAAATGAATAATTCGTTCTCGATGTATTCACAAAATAGTCCCACAATATTAGACTTCATTCTTAAACCACTCTGACATGCTTCCGACATTGTAACAGCTATTTGAAGTTTCTAAGATGATGCTCGAACAATTCCTTCTCTTAAAATCAGTTTCAAAATTTAAGACAGGTTACTATTTTTAGACTAACATTCGTTGAGTACAGGATATAGTTCTCTGATTTCCATATTTCGAAAGATCGATGTTTGACGCATCAATTTGTACAAGATTTCTTAAGTCGAAGGAGGCTTGTGCATTAGCCCTTTATAACTGTTACTTTCCTTTGTGTACATACATAAATTGTCGAAATAATCTCGGCTCAATTTATGTCAAAATGCAAAACAGGGTAGCTGTGAATGTGATTTGTGTCAAAAATAGACAAACTCACCCCTATCTACAAACCTACTGCTGGTCGAGGGAATATTCATCATATCAGCTTTATCTGCTGTTTGCTTCTATACATCTTTGTAATTATATGCGACTAAATCTATATGTTTGTAGCTGTCCGGATAGGATCAAATGAATCGGTGCTCAATGAATGTTACTTTTTACTAACGACGTCTGGAATCTATTCAGATTTTTTCTTGCTATTCAGAAGACATAGCTCCATCTTGCTGGTAATTAGAAATTTTCTCTGTGATGTTTTACAAAAGAATGGATCCACGCAGAAATATAACGATCCTTAGCTATAGACAACACTCTATTCTTTGATAGAGAAGAATCAGAATTTGAGACTAATGGAACATTTGGTTTTGTTAGGATTTTACATTCGCTTACTTTACAATCTCAAAAAGTCTTTCATGAACTATTTCCCTCGGATATTTTTACTTGTGGTGGTTGTTGTCGTCGTTACGATTGTTGACGTAGTCGAAGATGTTGATGTGGTCGAAGTTATTGCTGTGGTCGATGTTGTGGTTGGTGTTGTGATCGTGGTCGCGGTCGCTGTCGCTGTCGTAATCATTTTCGTGGTTGTTGTTGTCACTGTAATAATTATAATTGATGTTTTCGTTAGAGATTTTATAGCAATATTTAGTGAAGCTCACATATATTTTAGAAGAAAATAGTGAGTTCGAAATGCAGAAACAAAAAAAAAGATGAAGCGTTTGCTAACAATAGACTATCATTGAAAAAAAGCTATGGTATTTTAGATATTTTACATTTTGCATATTTTAATTACATTAGTATAATGAAGCTAAGGAAGACATGTGCATTCCACATGTAAGCCTCAAAGTGCCTACGCTAACAACCTTTTTATAATCATTTGTTACATATTTCTACTTAAAAGTACTTATAGCTGAATTTGAAGTAGTCATTGGTCTGTTTGGTTGTATAGCTAACGAATGATGCTATGTCTCATTAATTTCTCTCCTTCTAAGCTGTCTTGCGAAAAAATTTCAACAAATATTGAAACTTCAATAGAGTCATAGTATAGCAATAACAAATTAAACATTCAAAATAATCGTTCGACTGATATAATTGTCAAACTTTTAATAGACTCATTTGCTGCTGCCGTCTTATCAATTGCATAAAATGATCCAAAAACCTTTTTATTATCGTCAATAGAATTGGCTTTCTGTTGGTTC